AATTGAACGTTGTCTTCTTTGGCCAAACTTTTTGTTTGCTCAGGCAAGGGCCATACTCGAAAACCATATGCTAAGATATTTGTACCAACAACTGCTGAGAGCTGGCATGATTTTACGTTTCTAATTAGGGGAAAGATATTGTATTTGCTATTTGAATTAGCAACATATTGTCTGCAATGTTGTATGGGGCAGAGTGCTGGCCAGTTAAGAACTCTCATATCCAGAAGATGAAGGTAGCTGAGATGAGGATGTTGAGGTGGATGTGCGGGCACACTAAGTTAGATAAGATCAGGAATGACGATATTCGGTAGAAGGTGGGTGTGGCCTCTGTGGATGACAAGATGCGGGAAGCGCGGCTCAGATAGTTCGGGCACGTGCGGAGGAGAAGCCTGGATGCTCCGGTGAGGAGGTGTGAGCTGCTGGCTTTAATGGGTTCGAGAGGAGGTAGAGGACGACCTAAGAAGTGTTGGGGAGAGGTGATCAGGCAGGACCTGGCGAGATTGCAGATTTCCGAGGACATGGCCTTTGATAGGAAGGTTTGGAGGTCGAGCATTAGGGTTGTAGGATAGGGGGTAGTCGAGCTTCCCCCGTCAGTTCCGGGGGTTCCCACCGGTACTACTACTAGGGGGGGGGGGGTAACGCGAGTTTGAGTCTTTTGGAGGGTTGGTCCTAGGTCAGGGCTTGTGGTTAATGTAGAGTTCACACTAACCTTGCTGTTTCCCATAGATCTAGTCCTTAGTTGTGGGTTATGGTTATTGCTTGTCATCTATTTTATGGTTTTTAGGATGCTGTCATTATTTCTATGGCTATGTTGACGTTACTGATGAATTGTCTTTTCTTGTTTTCTTGTTTTATTTTTCCTAAGCCGAGGGTCTATCGGAAACAGCCTCTCTGCCCCATCGGGGTAGGGGTAAGGTCTGCGTACACACTACCCTCCCCAGACCCCACTTAGTGGGACTTTACTGGGTCGTCGTTGTTGTTGTTGTTGTCTGCAATGTTCTAATTGTATCTTTAGAGGTCCAAGAATTTTGGGACATGATTGCTGAATGCACATTTTTGTTACTGAATGAGATGGCGGGAAATTGACATTCTGTCCCAGATCAAATGATGTCAAATAGCCATTTTAATACACAGTGGCTGTTATCATATTGATAAGAGTTGACATTTACTATCCGTATAACCTGTCTGAGGATACAGAAGAAAGTGCATCCAGCAAGGGCATTTTATCTTCTTCTTTTTTTCTCTGAGTTTCTTTTATTTTAATTTCTTTTTGGTTTTGTCCCGATCAGCTTGTGTTCTCGAGTTTTATGACATCAAGAAAGCGTTTTAGATGCAAATAAGTATATGTCAATCTGAGAGAAGCGTCGTGACACCTCAAACTTGAATTTGTTTTTTCATATTTGACGTTAGAAAAACAAAATAAGTCATTTATTACTTTTTTTAGAGAACTTGAAACAGCCTCTTGCAGAAATGCAGGGTAAGGTTGCGTACAATAGACCCTTGTGGTCTTGTCCACAATAGACCCTTGTGGTCCGGTCCTTCCCCGACCTCGCGCATAGCGGGAACTTAATCCACCAGGCTGCCCTTTTTTTTAGAGAACTTCAGTTATTGTTCCAAAGAGGCGTGCAAAAATCTTAAGAGATAATATTGAGAGAAGATAGCAGTTTAGAGAGATGAAGATTTCTTTGTTTAGCATCATAATTTGTTGCTTGATTGAAACTGGTAAAAGGGAAAACAAAACTACATAAAAGCAAAAACGAATCTCATCTACGTTTTACAAACTTGGGAACCGAAAGGAAGCAAATGAATCAAGAAACTAGTTAACTTTCAAGTAAAATGTTCACTCACAAAACTTTGCTCTTTCTGGTTATATCATTTCAGCTTTGAGGTCTTTTGCAAAAACACAACTGTCAGACTGATAGATGTTTTACAATGAGAAAAGAATAAGGCAAAAACAAAACATAGCTCGTGTTAACTGTTTTGTCTAAGCATACCGTTTCCTTTCCAATAACGCATCACACAGCCTAAGGGCGTATGCATTATATCGAACATTATGTACTCTTACAATATTGGCGCCATTCAGAACCCCTGTCGTTACAGCAGCAACAGTTGCTGGATCTCGTTCATCTGCAGCAGGGCGAGCACAGACTTCGCCTAGGAATCTCTTTCTGGACGGTCCAATCAATAAAGGGGCACGAGACAACGCCAAGCTCCTCCTTGCAATCTCACTTCGAATGGTTGTCAAACCCGTTAGAATATCCAAATTATGTTCAGTATTTTTGGAGAATCCGATTCCTGGATCAATTATTAGCCTCCAAGCAGGGATACCGGCTAACTCTGCTTCCTTGAGCCTCTCATAAAGTTCAAACGCCACATCCTTACAAACATCATTGTACTGCAAGTTCTCGGGATTTTGCATTGAAGACGGATCACCTCTCATATGCATTGTTATAAAGGGTACTCGAAGTGCTGCAACGACACTGTGCATGTTGGAATCCAACCGTCCACCAGATACATCGTTTACAAGATGAACCCCGTTCTTGACTGCGTCTGAAGCAACATCTGAATAAAAGGTATCCACAGATAAAAGCTTACCCTCAACCTCGGGCATCTTATTAACGGCCTCTATAACAGGAATTAGTCTATCTAATTCTTCTTCAACGGATATCTTTGAAGCGTTTGGACGTGTGGATTGTGCACCAAAATCAATTATATCTGCACCCTCTGAGAGCATTAACCTAACTTGGGAAACTGCTGCTTCTACGGATAGATACTTTCCACCATCACTAAAACTGTCCGGAGTCAAATTCAGAATACCCATAACAGAGGTTTTCGAAGACCAGTCCCATAGGTTGTTTCCAACTGGCAATACCCTTTTCATCCCATTTCTCCCTACAAGAGATTCACCTCCTAGTTTTTCCCACAACTCGAAAAGATCACCTGAATGTTTAGAAAACGAATGCCAACATGCAACTGTATCGCTATCTATGTCTGAACCGAGTAGATCAATCAAAGGTGCGACAACAAATGGTCTCTCCCAGATTCTTTCATGCGGAACGTCAAGTATCTCAGAATGAATCTTGAACTTCCCATAAAACAAAATATCCAAGTCGATGGGTCTAGGACCATATCTAATCCCAGTTGTACGACCCATGTCCTTCTCGATCTTCTTGAGCACTCCCAACAACTCGTGAGGCCCTAGTTTTGTGACACCTCTAACAGCAGAATTCAGAAACCGAGGCTGATCAGTTACATAAGCAGGCGCTGTCTCGTATAAGCAAGCATGCCTGGTAATTTGTATACCTGATTTCTTCATTAGGTGCAATGCTTCATCAAAATTCTGAAGTCTGTTTCCCACATTACTTCCCAAAGCAATTATTACTTCCTGCTCCGAGGAATGTACTTGCACCACACAATCCGGGGACGAATGGATACTACAAAAGCCCCGTGCTGCAAACAAGTTTGTAAAAGAACATCAATCAATCAATCACTATGCGTCTATGCCTTAATCCTAAAACTAGTTGAGGGTCGGTTATATGAATCCTCTGTATCCATTCTGCGCTATTATGGTCCATTTCTCTCAATCTTTAAAGATTCAAAAAGAACATTTTAGATTTAAAAAACGGCCTCTACCTCCATCGACAGTCAATAAAAACCCCTCATTAAAATGTTGAGAGAAGAAGCTTAAACCCATCAAAACATCTAAGAAAGCTCAAAGATAAACCGTTTTTTATGACGATGCTCTCGGGGCCAGCTTGTACACACCTCGACTATTTCTATTTCACTGGTAGCTGCTATCCTCCACTAGCACAGATATCATATAACTCTTGCCTACCAAGACTTATTACTATTTAAAAAGATAAATATGACTTTATAATTTATTTGGAAAAACTGTAGTAAAAGAATAGTATAATTCCATTAATGTCATTAATTGCACTAATACTAATCTAATTAAACATTTCAATCCACATCCCATCTTCAAGGGTAAATAGAACACATACCAATTATATCAAACCTTACAAAGATTGTAACTTTATGATTAATAGAGCACAAAAAGATAGGAAAAACACATAAAGAGGGGTAAAAAGGTCTTACCATTACACGAATTCTTGGATTTTTTGAACCCAACTTTTGTGGGCAGTAAGCGTCTGAAGATATTCATATTAACAAATGATACAAAAATCAATGAAGATAGTGATGTTAATATCTCAGTAATATTTCAAGATTCATAGAATTGCAAGAAATCTCCAGGACTATCATCCTATGAATGAACATGAAATATACAGTGGAATTGGATCTTGGAAATTAGATTAGATTCCCTGCTTTGCCAGAATATAGTACAAAGGCAGTGCAGAAACATACCTAGTGGCATTTTGGTAAACTGTGGAGTACACTAGGGTCATTTTAATCATCAAAAGTTTGTCTTTAGAACATGGGTTTAAAGACAAAGACACTACTCCCTACTTTTAATTTATTTTTTCTATCCAAAAGAATATCAGTTTTTTACATTTACAAATATTTTAACTTTAAAATTTTATTTTTTACTTTAATAAAATAATTTAAAATAAATGATGAAATCACTGGTACTTGTACTAGGGTAGACCGTTTACATTATATCTCTTGAGATGCGGCCCTTTCCTCGACTCTGCATGAATGCGATATGCTTTATGTTTCGGATTGCCTTTTTGACGAAACCAAAATTTTTATTAAAAATAAACACACAAATAAATCAAAGCCATTCAACATATAATGTATATAGTAAAACAATTATTACTTATCTACACAATAAATTTTTTGAGTGAACACCTCTTGGATAAGAGTGTTTCATTATTTATGATTTATTTTGAATCATAAATTTTAAAAGTCTTTTGCCTTCTATGTAAAACAGGATAAAAGGAGTACTAATCACTATGAATAATTTCTTCAGAAAATAATTAAATAATAAATATTATTAAAAGAAAAGAAAAATAATAATTCTGTAATTCCCTCAAAAACTCAAATCCCAAAACCCCCCTCCTCATCCAGTTCTTTTTACTGCTTCACAGCTACCTTGAACTTGAAGGTCTAAAACCCCAAATCCCCATTGTTGGGTTGTAAAGATTGTATCTTTATGTTCCTCTTGCTATGGCTGCTCTCTCTTTCAGCTTCTTTTCTACTCTCCCCAGGTTCTTTTCCATAATTCTTTTGTTTTTTTTCTCATATATGTTCCTTTTTTATCTGCTTTGTTTCATCTGCTTTACCTTGTAAAGAAAATTATACCAGAAACAGACAGTTAAACATATAACTTATAAAGTTGTCACCTTTGCAACTATCTTGTGTGTGGATAACGTTATTTTGTGGTGAAAATTAGAATTAAAGTTGAATTTCTGTGTCATTGCTTTCGTATACTACTAGTTTGAGAGCAAGTTGAACTTCTTCCATATTCGATATGATTCTGTATTGTGAGGATTCATCATATAATCAAAAACATGCAGGGGTGATTTGAAGGTTATGAATTCGGGATTCTGGGTTCTAAATTATATAATTTATAAACATTAATAAATTTCTTAAGACAAATAAAAAGTTGGACAAAAGTTATTGGGGTCGGCTGACCCCATATCTTCAAGACTAGCTCCGCCACTAAAAACATGGTTGGTGAGGATTCATAGCTGACTCCAACTTCTTTGGGACTGAGGCGTAGTGGTAGTAGTAGTTGTTCTATATGATTTTGATTAGTGCACATAGGGTGGCTTCACTGGTACAGTTGCTCTTTTGGTGACTTGTAGGTAACTAGCCGACTGCACTTCGTGCTTTTTTTTTTCTTTGATAACCGTGGTGTCGGGGCTAACTTGCGTGCATCTCGAATAATTCCATGAGATACCTGTTACTTCCCACCAGCAATTTCTTCCACCAAGGCTTTTTACTACCTCCAACCAGCAACATGTGCAGTTCGTGCTTTTTAATAGTGCATAGTTGGAGTTCATTCGGAATGAAATCATTCACTCACCGAAAACCAGAACAAATTCAGTGTCTTTAAAGCTGCGGACTTTTAATTGTAAAATGTATCAGTATGCAAGGAGGGTGTTTTTCTTGGTTGTAATATAAGCATCAAATAGAGACTCAATGTCTTTGCTTTTTCTTTATAGCATCTTGGATTTTTCTGATCTCAAACATGGAGGAAATTTGAGGATAATTGCTCCTGAAACTAAAAATATGCTTCAAACAGGAAAAAGCAAACTAATGTTCTATGTTTCTCTAATATGCAGGCAGCATTTGCATTGGAACTTTTACCCAAATATGAAAGTAATGCAGCTTCAAGATCTTGGACATAAAAACAAATGGGTTCTTATGGCAATCTCTAAAGAAGGATCTCCTGAGGCTATAGCCAAGGAGTTATCGAAGACAGAGGTGTTTGGTGCTGGAAAAAAGACTGCCCGGATATCAAAACGAACTCCGGTTATGGCTAGGAGAAAGAAAGTAGTCGAGACTTCAAATGATGATCCCGTGAACGCCGAGGAAGCCGAAAATACTTCAGGGTCAACTGAGGAACCCAAAAAAACCCAGAGACGAACTCGTAAGAAAAAAGAGATAGTGGAGAGTTCATTTGGCGATTCCATATCCGATGCGGAGGGTAATGTCACTGATGCGGAAGCTGTAACAGAACCAGAATCAAGTGTGAAACCGAAGAAAACCCGACGAACTCGGAAGAAAAAAGAGACAGCGGAGAGCACATTTGAGGATTCCTTGTCAGATGTGGAGGGCAATGTCACAGATGAGGAAGCCTTACCAACTTCAGGATCAAGTGAAGGTTCCATGGAAGTACGAAAACGAACTTCAAAGAAAGGTAAAATCTCTTTTCCAAATACTTACAAACTTCCTCGTCATTGAGCACTTGTGCTTTCTTTACATTTCCTAAGTTTAAAAGTTTAAATTGCAAATCTCTTTATGCATAATTTGCAGCTGTTTCTAGCTCTAGTAGCCTTGAGAAAGAACCAGCTCAGAAGGTCACAAGGCGGAGGAGAAAGAAGGTTTATGATTTAGAGGATGAAGGTAGCCAGACAGAAATTAGTGATATTGAAGAAGAGCTACATGTTGCAAACATTGATGCCGATAGTGAGGAAGAACTGGACTTCGATGGTGGAGAGGATATTAGCTTCTCATATGGATGGCCACCTCTTGTGTGTTGCTTTGGTGCCGCACAGCATGCATTTGTTCCTTCAGGGAGGCCGTCCAATCGGCTTATAGACCACGAATGGCATGAAAGAATGAAAGATGCAATTTGGGATCCTGAAAAATTTACCAGGTCCCCCGGGGGATGTTCGAGTAACGTTGCCGTGGCTCTTGCGAGCTTGGGCGGTAAAGTTGCCTTCATGGGGAAACTTGGCGATGACGATTTTGGTCAGTCCTTGGTATATTTTATGAATATCAACAAAGTTCAAACGCGATCAGTTCGCCTTGACAGTAAAAAAGCAACTGCCATTACACATATGAAAATAGGTAAGAGAGGGGGCTTGAGGATGTCTACCACCAAACCATCTGCTGAGGATTCTCTATTGAAGTCCGAGATCAATATAGATGTCCTTAAGGAGGTGAGAATCTGAAAAAAAATTACATGTTACTTTATTTATTTGAATTCATTTTGTCTGTTCTGTTAGTGCTGAAGTTGTTTCAATTCATTCTAATGTGTCACACAGGCAAAAATGTTTTACTTCAATACATTCTCATTGCTTGACCCAAATATGAGATTAACCACATTGCGAGCAACAAAGATTTCGAAGAAGCTGGGAGGGGTTGTCTTTTATGATGTCAACCTCCCGTTTCCGCTATGGGAATCGGGTGATAAAGCGAAGACATTCATACAGCAAGCGTGGGATCTTGCAGATATTATAGAAGTTACGAAACAGGAGTTAGAGTTTCTCTGTGGAATAAAACCGTCCGAGAGGTTTGACACCAAAGATAATGACAGGTCTAAGTTCACTCACTATCCACCGGAAGTAATTGCTCCACTTTGGCATGAAAATCTAAAGGTTTTGTTCGTGACCAACGGAACTTCTAAGATTCATTACTACACCAAGGAGCATAATGGTGCTGTTCTTGGGTTAGAAGATGTGCCTCTGACCCCTTATACTTCTGATATGTCTGCATCTGGAGATGGTATTATTGCAGGTAAAAGATTGACCACCTTCTGTATATTCATAATTCGTTCGTTTAGAAGTTTGCTCATTAGAGATGATAGTCTGCTATGTGATGCATTCATGCCTTTTCACTTATCCCTGCACTATTTATACAAATTGGATATACATCTTTACTTAACTTTGGATCAAGAGATAGCAGTAAGGAAACAATATTGAGTGAAGTCATGTCACATCTGGACAGTGATGTTATCCATCCAAGTTTTACAGGCCAACAGATATCTTTAGCTGTTCGATCAAATTCTCATTATTAGTACTCAACTGTTACCTAAAAACAGTATCATTACCTGTTTCAAAAAGAAATGTTTGGTTATAAAATATTTACAACTGAAATATCAAATTTTCGTGTTTTTGGTGCTCTTCAACTTAATTTCTGTGGCAACTTTTGGTTCAGGTATCATCAGAATGCTGACAGTTCAGCCTCATCTTATGACCGATAAAGGGTACTTGGAACGAACTTTAAAGTATGCTATTAGCTGTGGGGTAGTAGATCAATGGTTACAGGCAAGGAGATTAGGGTATCCTCCCAAGGAAGGTATGGAAGACGATGTGGTCCCAGACGACCATGGCATCAAGTCGGTAACAGAAAGGGAATACAGAACACTCGTGCCTATAAGTTGATGGTGTATACGCTTGGTAGCCCATTATGCTTATGTCAGATGCCCTGTTTCCATCGGAAAGTTGAAAGTTTTGGTGTTGGAATATTCTTTCGGGCATCACTGTGATTGTAGCTGTAACTGCTTGTACACAAATTTTTCGAGTTTTGGTACAACATGGTATCAGAGAAATCATACAAGAGGGAAAGACAACATCACCAATTCCATTTCCCCGAGGCTTTCTTGATTGCTCTGCCTTTAATGTAACATTTGTACTATTTTTTTGACATATTGGAGAAATTTTGATTTTTTACTAGCAGAATAGGCTGTGCATTGCTGTGTATCATAGACCAATATCATTTCATCTCCTTTTTGTTATTTCTGAATGCAATTGTTTGAGTTTGAACTTTGAACCATTTAGTTTTCTTAAAACTCAGTTTCTCTAAAGAAAATGGATTCTCCTCGAAACACACACACAGAGAAAAAAAGGGGCAGTTCGGTCGCTAAGCTCCCGCTATGTATGCTCCCGCTATGTGTGGGATCCGGAAAAGGATCGAACCACAAAGGTCTGTTGCACGCAGCCTTACCTTGCATTTTGCAAGAGTATGTTTCTACGGCTCGAACCCGTGACCTCTTGGTCACATAGCATCAACTTTACCAGTTACGCAAGTACCGGATAATTCTGTCTGCCAAGGTTAGGCGGATGAGAAGATATCACCTAATATTTTTTGTCATATTAACTTACATTGGACCTCCACCTATCTACACTAAAATTGTTAATGATGAATGTTCTGCCATTAACTTTATGTATCAAAATTTTATTTCAAGGTAACTGATGTGAAAGAGCTGAAAACAAACTAGCTAATTTTTAAAAGGACATTTTGACTTCTATATAAGGATCCAATTTTATTGCCATCTTCCCCAACAAAAAGATAACCACACTTCTCAAAACCCACCTCAGAAGAGAGGACTGCAGGTGGAAGATACCTAATCCAACGGAAGAAAAAGTTCCTATATTTCTTCTCAAACAGGAAAAGGTATCAAAAATTTTGGGAAAAAAGGGAAGATCAAAATATAAGACTTGATGAAAGATGAGAATGAACTAAGTTGCATATGCCTTTTCTAAATACACAATCATACACATTTAAAAGCCTGGTCCTTCTACTCTGAAAATTTTGCGCCGTCAAGTTTTGAGGCGGCTGCCTTGTCTAGAAACCAAACCAAATTCCCTTTACTTGGCTGGACCATTTTTGCTGGCAATGTCGGGCAGTCAGGTCCAACATCATCAATTGCCGAATGCACAGCCTCTGCTTTACTGCTTCCAGTTGCAACTATAGCCACATTGGATGCAGAGTTGATAACCGGTAAAGTGAAAGTAATCCTCTCTGGAGGAGGCTTGGGTGAGTCGGTGAGAAAAGTTACCCACTCTTCTTTCTCATCAAGTATGGAGTGATTAGGGAAAAGAGACGCGACATGTCCATCTGGTCCCATTCCTAGAAGAATGAGGTCAAACTTGGGGCAGTCGCTGATGTCAGAAACGCTGATTACACGAGTCCTCACGAGCTGTCTAATAACAAACTCATAGTCTTCGGCAGCTTTCTCTGCTGAGACCGTGTCGTTAATGGAATGTACATGGCTTGGAACAATAGGCACCTGAAAGATAAAAGCACAATCTAGCTGAGAAATGCAAAACTCTGGAAAGTAAGATCAGTACCAAAAATCAAATTCGGAAGCCCTTCAGACTTGGAACAAAATTTCACTAATGAAATTCAGCTACATGGTACAAGACAGCATTTCAAATCTATGCATTCAGCTCAACCGTCCTGTTTTCTTTTTCCTTATTTTTTTCCACTTCCCTTTTAATGCCAAGGGAAGACGAAAGGATAAATGAAAAAAATGGAAGATGCTGTAACTTCGAAAGAGCTAACTAGCATTTGTATCTTAAGATGGTACACTCGTATTCTGGTAATTGAGAGAATACCTAGGATGAAGAATTTGGGAACTGAAGTACCAGTTCTCCTCCCACATTGAGAAGCAAACCTCAAAGTTATACCTATTGAATTCATACTATAAGAACATCCATTTCCCTCACAAATTCTAGGGGAAACACAAGAACAAAACAACAAAAAAATGAAGAGATGGAATACAATTGCTAAAACATGGACCTTGTCTGGTCTATGTTGCATGGACTCTCCAAAATACTGACGCACCCATGTCGGATTCTCCAAATATACATAGTCCGAGCAACATAGGTGGTGGTTCTAATGCCAACCCATAGATTAAAGAAGATATTTAGCAGATTTGCAGAATACTGTTGAATAAATATGATTTCAAAATACTGACCCTGAAGGAAATAGAAAAAACCAAAGACTGTTCCTTTCTTTCTCATTAGATATCTTAAATACTTATCGTGTAAGATATCAACAAATACAAGAGCTTTAAAGGATATATGTTAAACGTGATAAAACAGTAGTAAGCTTTCAAGCTGAACTAATTTTCCACAATGAGCAGGTTACATCAAAGTTCAAAATTGTTAGACACGATAGCATGACAGATCTACTAGACATCGGTAAGCTCGAAGAGTCAAGACACATGAGACACCAAGGCCACCATGTTTCCAGTGTAAGTCTGCGTTCGTGACTCTAGCAAAGGAAACTATAGAAGTTACCAAATATCATTATGTCAATCTATACGCGGGAAACAATCAGCATTGGTTAAACCCAGCATCTGCAGAGAGAGTTTGCTTGTAATCTTGAAATTTCTTATCAATCAAGAAAAAAAATAAAAATAAAAAGCAAAGCAACTAAAACACCCTCCTCTCCCCGTTAGCACTGAACATCCTTTTGGCATCACCAATCCGTAAATCGATCTCTTCATGCCAGCAATTGGATGGTCTTAATATAACCTCAAGTTAATATTTCAACCACCTCCGGATCCCTGAGAGCTCATAGTGAGCGACTACAATTGAACATTTTCAACAATATTCTCTTGCATGACTTTATAGGTCACTATGTGCACATACAATACTCATCCATCTATTAGCACTACCTCAATTCAGCTTTATACGCATCCTCAGTTGGCCCAGTGCATTCAGTTCAAAGGAAATAGCTACAGGTGCACTTAGATCCATAGATGTCACCACCTCTAAGCATGGACACATTAAATATACCATATATACCTGGTTCACTACAATAGTTCAAAGTAAATTAACTAGAGAGTAACAGATGATAGGTAGAATAACTCAGTGGCATACGCAGAATTTTTCATAAGCGGTGTCATAATTTGAAGAAATGAACAAACAAATAACTTATTGTAGTTGTAACCGGTGTCATTTTCAATATTAATCTTCAATATTTTTATTTCTCTTATACATAAATAGTAAAAAAATAACGACGAAGCGGTGTCCTGTGACACCGCATAGGACAAGGTGTATACGCCCCTGGAATACCTAGAGACATCAAAGATCTGGATTCAAAAAATTTTGAAAATCATCTTGCTTCAGGAATAAAATGAAAAAAGAACCATATTCATGGGAATTTACTATACATGGCTATCTACCACATCCAACCCCCAACGATTAGATACTGCAGCTTAGAGAATCCTGATTCATTCTTCTGCCAGATCTCCTATCCAAACTCTGACGTAACGTCCCCACCCCCACTATGCCATACTATGCAAAATTGCAAGCTCAAAACATTGTTGGAGATCAAGGAAAAGCACTGATCAAAGAAATATGTTACAGCACACCTTAATTTCTGGCTGCAGCTACAATACCAACAATAGCCATGCTTGACTGTAGCATGATTGCTTGTCAATGTTCCGAACAGACCCTAAAAAATGGCTGCTCCCCCTCTCACCCTCCCCCCCACCCCCACCCCCACCCCACCCACCCCCAAAAAAAAGTAAGGAAGAAAGAAGAAAGAACATCCTCACTTCTATATAAGATGAACACAAGCGACATGGTATGAAAACTAATATCAACAATAACATATAAGTTTATAGCCGGTCTTTAGCATGACGGTTAGCCAAAAAGTAGTAATTACAACAGCCTGGAGCTTCCCTTGCATATTTGAGATGCACCGTATCTGTGTTTTAGAGCTGAAAGATTATTGTATATTTATGATGAACTGAATCAACCCAAAAGAGAACTACTTCATTTGATGCCTGTCTTAAAGATTTCTTGATAAAGGTATATGTAATCATGGATCGCAATGCAAAATAGAGAGAGCCATTGTTACAACTAGGGGTGGCAAACGAGCTAGTTGGATCGGATATGGACGAGTCAAGAACGGGTAGTGCAAAAACGGATTAATTATCCGACCCGATCCATATTTAATACGGATAGAATACGGGTTGACTGCCAGATAATATTGATATCCATTATTATCCATGGCTTCTCGAATATGATCACTTTTGGAAGAATACCTAGTCTTTCACACTTAGAAACCCCTAATTTGAGTCATGTAAAAATTAAACACATTGGTTATCCATTTTCTAAGTGGATAATATGGTTCTTATCCATATTTGACTCATTTTTAAAAAGTTCATTATCCAACCCATTTTTTAAGTGGATAATATGGACGGATAACTGCTTTTTTATCCACTTTGCCACCACTAGTTACAACTAAGGTTCGTATGAACAATCCCACAATCAGTAGATCAAAACAGTACGCAAGATGATCAAGTAAAATTTGAGTTTTCTACCTTTGACAAAAGTCCATCTTTGGCTAGCTTGTAATTACTATCAGCATGATTTTTCGCAACCACACGCTCGTCCACCCAAAATATATACCACTTCGCCCAATCAACAGTTTTGCTGTAAGGAGCTTCACAAAGTTTTCTGCTTCCCCGAGAATTTCAAAAACCAGTTCAATACCTTATATATAAAGGGAAACAAAAAAAAATTGAAAAAGTAAAATATAACACACTTACATACCCCATCAAGCTGATGAGGGAACCACCAGATAAAGCAACAGCAAATACACCTCTCTCCTTCACAGAAGCCTCTGATAATTCTGCAATATAATCTGCCAAATCTGTGCTGAGTTCATCCAAATACTCATAAATCCTCACTTCTCTTCCATCTTTATTAGCCCAAGAAAGAGCCATCCTTCTTTAGAAAATGTAAGATAACACTGCCACTACTGCACAAAATCATAACATAGCAAAGCAACAAGTCAACTACAATTTGGACCATATTCTGTTTGATTCACCTGAAATTATAATTTTTTCTAAAAAAAAAAGTCTAACAATTCCATAATGATCATTTAGCATGAAACAAAGCACAGATTCTCCAATTACACAATCTGAAGAACATTTAAGGGGCACGACACTAAAGCAAAACAAGAAACTAGTAGACAACTATACTACATGTACTTACTCAACATTAACAACAACAACAACAACAAACCCACTATAGTCACACAAGTGGGGTCCGGGGAGGGTAGTGAGCACGTAGACCTTACCCCTATCTAGAAGGTAAATAGTTGTTTCCGATAGATCCTCGGCCCAAAGAAAGATGAAGAGAAAGCAGTAGTAACAAGTAACAGCAACAAACTCACTCAACATAAATAATCAAAAAAATTTGATCTTTGACATTGGCAGCCCCCCCCCCCACCAACACACACACACACACCAAAAACAAAGAATCAGCAATACCAGTAGTTAAATTCTGAAATTCTTAGAAATTATTCAAGCTCATAATTTAAGGTTCAGAAATTCTTGAAACACAGAAATCAAACACAAAGTAAGTAGTACATGATCACTCCACAAACATCAAAAAATGAGTATTAAAAAGAAAAAGAAAAAAATGAAGACTGATCAACAAGAAGATCATTGACTCCACAAATTCATTGAATCAAGAACATGCACGTGAATAGAAAAAACTGAAACAAACAGCATTACAGACAAAACTCCAGATCACAAAGAATTATCATCCTCTTCCATTAATAATCTTGAATTGCAAAAAAAAAACCACCAAAAAGTAAACACCAAACTGCTAAAAACAGAAACCCAAAACACAAAAACAACATAAAAATCAAGTCTTGGAATATCATTAACATACAATATACTATTTCTGAAGTAAGAACCATAGGAGCTATAAAAAATACAGAGAAACAGAGAGATGGGGTTCTTACAAAGGTGAAGGAAAGTGATGTGTTAGGCCAAAAAAAGAAAGGGAAAAATTTTGAAGGAGCTGAGAAGATGGGTATCAGCAGTTTCTATAACATATATAAGGACAAAACACACACACACACACACACACAAATATTAAATGTAATATATAAACACCATAGCCAAAAAATAAAAAAATAAAAAATAAATAAAAACTTACCTTGATCTAGGCAAAAAAAAAAAAAATTAATCTTGAAACGAAGCATTTTATTTTTTACTGAATACTGCAACATGAGTTTGATATAATGAAAATTAGGAATTTTAACCTTATGAGGTACCACGTGCATCTGATGATGGTGACAAGAAAATGTAAACAGAAATTCTCTCTTTTTGTTTTAGTGGATAAAAATGAGAGAGAAAAAGATGAATCACGTTCCTTATCTACTTCTTAAAAATACAGATAGGATAAATGAAAAATATTTATGTAAAACTTTGTGTCAGAAAAAGTAGTATATTTAATTATGTAAAACAAAAGGAAGTCTTTGTTCTTTCCTTTGGTTTCCTAGATCCTCTGCTGTGTTTTTTCTAGTAGGTAAATAAATTCTTTTAATTATTTGATTTAATGGGAAAAAAAATAAGAACCCTTGATTTTGAAATTAGTACACATTTAAAAATTGAGTGACAAGAGTTTTGTATTGGGTGCAATATTTGAATATTATGAGGCTTGTTTTTTGATACATGATCTTTATTTAGTTTTTTTATTATTTGTACAGACGCAAATTTATTATTTTTAAGTTAATGAATTCTGAATACTTATACCATTACGCTATAATAGGTCATGCAATATATTTATGTATATATGTGTGCGCGCGCATGCATAGATATTTTTGAACTACAACAACAACAACCCAGAAAAATCCCACAGGTGAGGAGTATGGGGAGGTAGTGTGTATGCAGACCTTACCCCTACCCCGATAGAGTAAAGAGGTTGTTTCCGATAGACCCTCGACTCAAGAAAACGAACAAGACAAAAAGAGACAATGTATTAGTACCATCAACAGAAATCATAGAAATAATAACAACATCATAAGAACCAGAAAGTAGATGAAACACAATAATGATAACCAGTAAATAAGGCCCGATGTTATGAAAAACAGACGATAGTGTGAACACAACATTAACCCCTAGCGGTCTAAGACAAATGTGATTACTACCGTCATATATATGTTACGGTTATTAATATCCGTCTTTGTATAACAAATTATAATTATAATATTTTATGTGAGTTTATTCGCTCAAACTTTAGTGATAAGGATTATGTTAAAAACTTGTACTTATAGATGAATAAGTTGAATAATTGAAGTGCTTGTAAATTAATCAAACACTATCAATATAAAAAAAATGTATATCAATATCACAAAGGAGATTTGAGTAATCTTCAAAGAAAAGAGGGAAGGAAAAAAAATACTCAAACTAATAAAGAAAGCAAAAAAAAAAAAAAAATTGTTGTTTAACTATTTACTTTTCAATTATATTTTGAAGATTATCTTTAATATTAGTAGTAGATATTGATAGGAAACACTTCTTCAATTAGTAATTTCACAAGTGTAGAAGTGACTTTCACGATTTAAATTTTAGTTTTTTAATCTTAGGTGGTAGGATTCCTTACCTTATTTTATTTTTATTTCTCATCTTTAACTTTATCTTCCTTTTTTTTCTTTTAATTTTATCTTCATCTTTAACTTTATCTTTCTTTTTAAAGCAATTCCATTGGCTGTCTCCCTAAAACCAGCTACTTGTCTCTTTTTACTATTTTTTTGCCATCTGTATTTATTGTGTTTATAAAATATTTGTGGTCCCAAAATTCATAAAGTAAACCTCACATGTAATGCTTGATTATTTAAAACTTTGGATGATAATCACTGATTATCATATTGTTAATCCAAACAGCAGTTGGCTAATTAAGTAACGACACCTACCGTCAAAGAATATGGCAGGATGGGTGTGATTCTACCCCTGTAACTAAAGATCTCAAGTTCGAGTCTTGAAAATATTAAAAGTTCAAAGTAGAAAGCGCTTCGCGTTTAATGTGCTATGCTGCACGAATTCAAATTAGTCAGCTCAGTAGTTTCTGAATATCAAATGTTTAAACAAAAAAAAAGTTATGATCCGTACTTTTATTTATCCATTTTTAACACGCTCAATCTTATTTAAATCGCTTAATAACACCTAATTATGTGTTATCATTAATTTAAAGAAAAATATTAAGTAAATATTCATACCAAGATTAAGTGAGAAAGCTACCAACTATTGTAGCCTATTTATAAAAATGGGGGAGTATTTCACACAGTATTCTTGAGTTCGATTCTCACTGTCCTGCCCTTTTTTTCAGGGGCGGATAGCCTTTCGGCTACATGTTTAACTGAACTTACAACTTCCGATACCGGCAATATGAATTTATACGTAAAAGCCTACTAAATTTTCAATAAATATTAAATTTAAACCCATAATTTTGACATTACAATGAGTGCAATGCTAAAAATCCTACAAAATGCACCGATTAAATTTAAATCCTGGATCCGCTTATACCTTTTTCGGTTGTTGCTGTCTAATTAAAAAAGAAAGAGTAAATGAGTAATATAATATTAGGTGGAGTATATAACTACTTCATAAGAATAGTTGTTATCAGTCAATCGTCCTTAAAGATGAGCTCATTGTGGGTAATAGACATTCTTTTGTTTAGTCATAATCAATGTAAATACTACTAAATGAATCATTAAACAATGTATACTAAGCCAATCATGTACCTTTTTGGATAATTAGGTGATTTTCTATAATAGGGTTTTCAATCTTTTGATACTTTTTAGGATTATATGCAATAATTCACTTTTATTTTTCCCTAAAAATCCTTAAAAATTAATTGAGAAATATATATTTTTAACCGCTCCCAAAAATAATAACTGATAATATATATATATATA